AGGGAGAAGGATAGAAGGAAGGAAAGAAAGGAGAGGGGGAAGGAAGGAAGGAAGGAAGGAAGGGCTACCCAGAGTCCCAATTTCTTGGGCAAAGGGGGGGGAGGGCTGCAGGCTGGAAAACCAAGGTAATGGGAGTCGGGCAGGGCTTCCTTGCATTCTTGCGAAGAGTAACAAGACCTGAAGTTGAGACGAGTCCGCTTTGGAGCCACGCTTCTCCTTCCCAAACCCCTCCAACTCCCAAACCCCATCCGCGACCATCCGGGGGCTGATGGTCTTCATCATCTCCATAAAGGGGGGAGACCGCGCGGAGCACGACGGGCTCTCCGCTCAGTCCGAAGCGGAGACCGCCGAGCCCCACACTTGTTGCGACCGCATTCACACACCCCCAGAGCTCCCGCGGGCCAGGCAGCGCCCTACCTGGATGGTCTGGTTGGGCTCCCCTCCGGAGACCGGCCCTCCCACGAGTTTGCAATACAGATCCTCCACGGGGCGCGGGGGGCTCCGGCCGCCGGCTTCCTCCTCGCCGCAGGTGGCGGTGGCGGAGATCTGGGTGCCCTCGGCCAGGTTGAAGTAAGGCGGGTGCAAGCTGTAGCCGTTCACGTCGGCCTGGAAGGAGACCGGCTGAGCCCACGAAGCCCCCGGCAGGGCCGCCGCCACCACCACCACCAGCAGAGCCAGCGGGCACCGGAGCCCAGCAGCGGGCACCGGCCGGCTCGCCATTTTCCCCGGGCCACTTGGAAAGAGCCGGGCGTGGAAGATTCCCCTCCGCCGGACCGGTGCGGATCGGGGTCAAAGAGGCGCCGAGCCCGAGGAAAAGAGGCGATCGGGCGCTCCGAGCCTTGCAACCTGCGCTGCGGCTCCCGCTGGCTCCGGAGCGCAGTTGGCTTCTCTCTCTCGCTCTCCCTCTCTCCTCTTTTGCGGCTCGCAGCGGCGGCGGCGGCGGCCCCGAGAGGGAAGTGGAGGGAGGGGCCACGCGGGGATTAGTCCTGGCGGAGGCTGCCCATTGTGTCGGCCGCCCTCGCGGCTCTTGTCCCCGGTTAACCCGTTCTGCCCGTCGGCCGGCCAGGGGAAAAGGGGCAAGGGAGAGAAACAAAGGGGGGATAGTCCGCGCGCGCGTGTCTCGCCTAGCAGCGGCCGCTGGGGCGAGAGAGAGTGGGGGGGGGGAGAAAGAGGCGCCCGGTGGAGCCCCAGACACCCATTCCCCAAATTTCTCTCCCCCCCTTTTTTTAAAAGACCCCCCCCCTTTGCAAATGCTCGAGCAGATCCAAGGATTTCTCCCCCCCCCCTCTTCACCGCCCGGAAAGACGAGTCCGGGCAAGCTAACCTGGGATTAATACAATACAATAGCAGAGTTGGAAGGGACCTTGGAGGTCTT